TAGGATCTTCGCCAACCCATCCGGAATGTTATGATCACCTGAAAATAGATTTAAATTACTACAACATTAGTTTAAAACACACCGCTCGGTTGGCTTAGTTGGTTTAGCGCTGGGGTGTTGGGTACGAGAGAAAATAAAGGTTTGAACCCCAGACCAAACCAACTCTAATGTCTTGAAAGAGATGGGAAAAATGTTTTGCATTTGAGATCTCGTCGGTTAAAAAGTTTCTGGAAAACCTTTGAACTCAAACTCTTGCTTAAGGACCTCAAGAAAGAACTGCAGGGACTTTTTTAGCCTTCAGAAGACGGAAAAAAACAATTGAAATTTAGCAACATGAATTCTTTCGAATTTCGAAATCAGCGCTTATACATGGTATGGTCTAAAACATGATCTCAACAAAAAGTTTCATCAACAGGACGAAGACCGTTTAAAATAGGAGTACGAACCCCACGATAAAGAAACATGCGAATTCCGTGATGCCCAGAAGAGACAAGACCGAATTGTCAATACGTTACTATGACAACAGAAACATTTCCTCGGCAGTAAGAGGTAACATTGCGAACTAGTGCGATTCAAGTTACCAGAGAAATGACCTTCCGAAGTTTTTTATTTTAGTTGATGCGACTGACAGCCGTATACGGCGATAAAACAAATGTTTTACATGGGTTTTTTTTCAATATTTATATATTTCTCAAGTTAAAATTTCACACTTTCGTTGAATAGAACACTTGGCTTTTGAAGGCTACAAAATAGAGGGTGGTTATTTCCGTGTAGGTGTTTAGATGGTTAGTCGAAATGTTGGAAGAAAACCTCTTAAATAATCTTCAATTAAGCCTGAGTGGTTTTCACTAGCGACGCAAGCTAAAGCGCAATCAAAACTGCTCTTATCTCACAATGAAAACGGGTTCGACGAAACCATAAACAAAAGTGCAAGCACAGGCTCAAAGATCAAAATGTTTCATCTCTCAGTTTTGCTTGATTTCACCGCCTTGTGCGTGAATAATCCGCCTCGAAAATGTGAGCATTTTGTTCCGAATACGTGTAATAAAGACACACACACGAGGAGAAACTTCCCAGCGACTTCCATGCTAATAAAACCGTGTGGTAACGAAGATATGATTACTTTGTATAAGCAGGGAAGGAGCGATTCCTTTAAAATCCAGTCAAGCAACTAAGTGGAGGATGTTCTTTTCGTAGCCGTAGTAAAAGGTCTACAAGTAAAGAAGGAGAAAAGCAGGCGGCAAGGAAAACGCAAAGAGCATATTTGTTATTTTTAATAATTCAATGTGATAACAAGCTCAATATCTGCCTTTGAAGTGCACCCGAGATGTCATAACCGAAACAACAAATCGACGCTTCACTACTTGTAATGGGGCACAGACACATTTTGATTTAGGTGCCGTGAATCACGTTAGGCTCGCGATAACTTTTGAGGACTGCATGTTAGTAATAGCTGGTTTGTTTGTTTTGTATCGTATTTTGAAGATAATGGTGTTATAATCGTCTAGGTGTCTAAAAATTTTTAAATCAGAACCACGATGAATTACAATTTTAAAAATTTGTTTGCTTTTTGGGGAGTAATTGGAAAGAGGCGCAGGCAGACAGATACAATACGAGTTAGACGCTCCAAGCGTACTGATTGGAAGCTTTAAAGATTACCACCCGAGAAAAATAAGGAAATTTATTGATTAAAATTCATTGATGCGAACATTTCCTCTTAAAAGCCATGCCAATTTAATGAGCATGTAGTTCAAATAACGCTAACACTTTTAAGCTTGAACATTCATTGAACATAATTTCCGAGAAAAAAGGGGTCATGATTCGCCCCGTACTTTATCACCACATCGTTTCAACCCAGAGTTAAGATGATAGACAGTCAGGAAATGCTGGGTGTAAATGTATGACTGCTCTGAGATGAAACATTATTTAGGCAACGATCGAAGTAAGGACCAAAGCCACATAAAGTTGAAGATGTATATGCCTGAAATTAACCTTTCTGCAAGCACAAACAATACTTAGATTCCGGGAAGGAATCCCCCGGCAGGTTGTTTCATTTCAAATTTAAGAAGACAGGTAATGAGGAAATACTGTTTATACTGGCTCAAATAGTTAGGGTTCTCCCCTTAGATTTGGAAATACGTTAAGTGAGTAATGTTACAGACAGTTTATTATTTATGGTTCGCTGTAATGAGCCTGTACGTTTCGAGTGAACGGCATCAAAATATTTAAATTCCGAGAAAGAACTATATTTAAATTCCGTGAAGGAATCATGAATCGTCTCCGAGTTATGCTTCATTACCTGACAGATTGTTTCATTCGAAAGTTAAGATGAAAGACTCTGAAGAAATGCTGTAAAAACTGACTTTAGCAATTTGTCTTCTTTCCCTTAGATTTGGAAATGGGTGTAATGTTGCGCACATAGTTGATTATTTTTCGAAGTCGTAAACCTGTCTTCAAGCGTGAACAATATTTAAATTCCGAGAAAAAGGGGTCATGACTCACCACTGAGTCACCACATCATCAGATCGTCTCATTCGTAAAGTTAAGATGATATGCACTGAGAAGATACTGTATGTACTGCCTCAATTAATTTGGTTTGGACTCAGCAAGAATTCAACGTAGTTATGGGAGTCATCTGTGACGTTCGACCGTTTTATTAACATCGAAGGTTTTGTAAAGAAAAGCTGAATTTGTAAGGGCGATTTCTAGAAATGATGAATTCATATTTGGCGTGCGCACATCCGAGAGATGTGTATTTGGAAATGCAACTCTTACCTTCGTGCTTGCAGGGTTACTTGAATTGACGGGCTTATATGTGAATGAGCCGCCTCGAAAATGAGTACATGCTGTCCTATGTACGTTCACAAGGAATACGAGCAAAAAAGAAAACTTTAAAGCGAGTTCCATAATCAAGCAGTTTACAAGGACATCTTTTGCTACATGCAGCAAATGTGTGCTCGAGGTTGAAGTTGAAGGAGTGGCTTCTCCTCAGAAAATGGATCGAACTTATCCTTCGACATAACCTGGTAGTCTTGCATGCTTACACAACTCTCTCTCTGTGAGTGCTGATTGGTCAAAAGAAAAAGGATTTAACCTTATTGGTTGACTCGCAAGACTTGAACCAATCATATGTTTTTTCAGATTCTCTTTCGTGACACTTGACGAACCAAATGTTTGCGGAAGTTTTTGATCTTGCGGGTTGGCGGTTTTCTTTGTTTTAAAAAGGAACAATTTTTTGCGGCTCGAGATGACTGAAATTTCGTTGATTTTTAGAATTTCTTTTCTATCAGCTAAACAATAATAAAATTATCTAATAATCATTAAGTCAATATGTAATTGTATTGATTCGGAGGAAGATAACTCGAGTAGTCAGAATATTGCTAGAGAAAGCGAGGATTTACTGCTTGTTACTGGTTTTCTTCTTGGGATGAAGTCGACCAGCTACGAGTAGCGCGGATCCAAAATGTTTCATTTTTCTTGTGCTTGTGTTTTCGCTTGTCGAAGTTTGCTTTCTCTTGGCATAATTACTATGTGGTTGCCCTTCTGCTTGCTCTTGTGTATGTTTCGCTAGTGAACCTCAATCGTTCGCAGAGCTCTAAAATTCGTTTGTCACGACCTAGAAATATCGTTGTATCCCTCCTAGGGTAGGCCTGGATGACGAGGATTTAACGAACCGGACAACAACTATGTGTCTTGCCGCTGTGCGAACACTCATTTTGAAATTTATTTTGGAGCCCTGAATAAGCTTACCGTCGTGCTCTCAGTTTTGCTTGAGTTCACCGCCTTGTGCGTGAATGATCCGCGTCGAAAATGTGAGCATTTTGTACTGAATACGTGCACAAAGACACACACACGAGGAGAAACTTCCCAGCGACTTCCATGCTAATAGAACCGTGTGGTAACAAAGATATGTTTACTTTGTATAAGCAGAGAAGGGGCGATTTCTTAGTAATTCAGTCAAGCGTGTGACTCGAGAAGACTGAGTGGAGGAGATCCTATTTCGTAGCCGCACGAACTCTATAAGGAAGGAGGAGAAATAGCAGGCAGCAAGCAAAACGCGAATAGCATATTTTTTCATTGCAATAATTCAGTGTGACAACAAGCTCAAAGTCTGCTTTTGAAGTGCACCCGAGATGTCAAAACCGAAACAACAAACGCACTTCACCTCTTGTAAAGGGCACAGACGACCGTGAATCACGTTAGGCTCGCGATAATTTTTGAAGAATACGTATTGCTAGGTTGTCTGTTTTGTTTCCTATTTTGAAGATAATGATGTTATAATCGTCAAGGTTTTTAAAAAATTTTACATCAGAACATGACGACGAGTTAAATTTTTGACAATATGTTTGCTGTGATTGGAAAGTGGTGCAG